GTGATAGTTGTACAAAAATTGGGGAGGGGTGGTATTTTTAGTTAAGATTATAAAATTGGTGGCATATAGGGCTATTTCCCTAAGTTTTAACTTAAAACAACGAATTTTATTAATATGTTTTGCGTTATAAAAACATCTTTTCTCTACTACAGATATGGCACAAGAATTAATTCGGCGTTGCCCGCAACTGGTCCTTACTCAAGACACCTTTGGGGTATCCCCGATACATGCTTTGGCATTTTTGCCTTCTGCATTCCCAAGTGGCACACGCCTCAAATTCTGGCAACAATGTATCTATAAATGTCAGTATCCACATTCTCTTTCCTCTTTCTTCTTTTTTTAAATCAATTTTTGGTTCACTATTATCCACACTCATCTATAGTGGCGGAGCTTGTTGGAGTTGGCTCGACTTAAAGATGCGGAAATAGGAAGGAGGAAGCAGAAGCGATCGGTCGTTAATTTCGGAAACGACCGGTCGTAGTAGAAATAAGGCATTGATTGTCGTTATTGTCTTTTTCGTGAAAGGTATACGCATAGACCCTTCTCGTGCCATAAGTGATGTTCGATGAAGTGTTCAAAATGAAGGAAACGAAGAAGGGAATCGAAGGGAAATTACTTGGTCAAGTATGTTGTGACCAACAAAAATCAAACTCTGCTTTTTTTTTTTCTCTGCTTTTTTTTATTTTTTTATTTATAATTATATTTAATTCTAATAAATTATAATGGGGAAAATAACTTTCCCATTATATTTGGATTTTGAATTTCCATTGCAGTGCTAGGTTTATTGCAAGGTCTGATCTCGAATCTTCATGAACTTTTGGGTATATACTACATTCTTTTCGTATTGCCGTTTTCTTCCTCATTAATGGTTTTCACAATCGATTTTTTCTTGATCTAGTTATTTGACTTTTTTTTTTTTCAATGCCAACCTCGGAATTAACCGCATATGTGAAATGAAATTGATGCATATCCAATCCCTGGAAATTCTAGATCGCATGTGTGAAGTGATAAGACCTTCATATGGTAAAGAATTGGAAGAGGTATATGCAGCAATCTTCCGAGCTATCGAGCGAGGGATTTTTGAGTTTGTTGATCATTTATTAAAAGAATGTCCACATCTCTGGCGGGCTGAAAACCGAATGAGAAAGAATATATTTCATTTTGCCATTGAATGTCGTCAAGAAAAAGTTTATAGCCTGATTTATAGACTTGATAAGAGAAAAAGAAGTTGGATTGGAAATGTTTCAGATAGTTCTAACAATGGCATGTTACATGTAGCAGGGATGCTATCCCCATTAGCAAAGCTTGATACTATCTCAGGTGCAGCTTTGCAGATGCAGAGAGAATTGCAATGGTTTAAGGTCAGAATATATCCCTATTGAGTTATCTTTTTTTTTTCTTCTTAATTTGCTTTTCTATATATGATATTTTCTCATCCGGATGTCCGCATGTTATTCTGCTATTATAAATAAGCAGAGAAAAGGGAGGGGTAGTAGAAAATACATGGAATGTACACATAGGAGAATTTATATATATAGCCTCCTAATGACCTTTTCTTTGTTGTAAAAAGTAATAATTCATTAATCATAATGGTCCGCTCAACGGTCATCCTTGCAAAAGAACTAACCTTTTCACAAATAAATAACGAACATACTGCTTTCGGTAAATACTCACTACTACAAAAATTGAAATAGACGACGGGGAAACGCCGTCGTCTTTTTCTTTTTCAAACCGTCGTTAAATCAACAGTCGTCTTTTTGAAAGTCAAACTACGACGGTAATTCACCGTCGTCTATTATATGTAAAAACGACGGTTTTTAAAAGAACCGTCATCTATTACATGTAAAGCGACACTTTCTCTGAAAAAACCGTCGTTATTGAATGTAAAGACGACACTTTTTTTTATAGAACCGTCGTCTATTAAATATAAAGATGACACTTTTTCTGAAAAAACCGTCGTCAATTTAATGTAAAGACGAAACTTTTTATGAAAAAACCGTCGTCTATTTAAATGTAAAGACGACACTTTTTATGAAAAAACCGTCGTCTATTTAATGTAAAGACGACACTTTTTCTGAAAAAACCGTCGTCTATTTAAATGTAAAGACGACACTTTTTATGAAAAAACCGTCGTCTATTTAATGTAAAGACGACACTTTTTCTGAAAAAACCGTCGTCTATTTAAATGTAAAGACGACACTTTTTATGAAAAAACCGTCGTCTATTTAATGTAAAGACGACACTTTTTCTGAAAAAACCGTCGTCTATTTAAATGTAAAGACGACACTTTTTATGAAAAAACCGTCGTCTATTTAATGTAAAGACGACACTTTTTCTGAAAAAACCGTCGTCTATTTAAATGTAAAGACGACACTTTTTATGAAAAAACCGTCGTCTATTTAATGTAAAGACGACACTTTTTCTGAAAAAACCGTCGTCTATTTAAATGTAAAGACGACACTTTTTATGAAAAAACCGTCGTCTATTTAATGTAAAGACGACACTTTTTCTGAAAAAACCGTCGTCTATTTAAATGTAAAGACGACACTTTTTCTTAAAAAACCGTCGTTTATTATATCCAAAGACGTCTATTAAATCTAAAAAAGACGGTTTTGTTTCAAAAAATCGCCGTTTATTATCTGTAAAAATGATGTACTAATTTCATTTTAGATATCCTAAAAAATTATTTCTTTCATAAAACTTGAAGATTCAATTGTAATTACATTGTTTACCAATCTTGATTCCTACTATATCCATACAAAATACCATATTTATAACATTATACCCTATAATTACAAAATACCATATCCAAAGCATTAACCTATGGTTGTTGTATCTTCCACAATTTGTACTTGTTCTCCACATTCAGCTGTCATCTTGGAGTAGTGTTCTAAGTCATCTTGGTCAAATGGATCTTATATTCTTCTAAGTTGTCATCTTGGCCTTTGAGCTACACTTGATATAAGCTGCAGCACCTATTTGCCATGTCATCTTACCTGAGCAATCAAAAACCACAATAAGATTACATTATCTTGCTGTCATTTTAACTAACAAAAAATATGCATAAGCTTATGCAAGAAAAGTTCATTTGTAACACAATACAGAAGAACATTTTGACTAACTGAGAGTTTCTTTTGTGACGTGGATGGCGAGCTCACCAAGAAGGCGCGATGGAGATCTGTCATCGAACCTCA